GCTTCCCTGAGAGCAAAGACTACCCATGACAGAGCATGGAATGGGGCCAAGAAACCCTCATTCTCACCAGACAACCTAAGCCTTCATTTTTATCTGAAAACATCCTGAAGGAGAAGCCAAAACAAGAAAGGTCCAAGTTGGCAGGGCTAGCCCCAAAGTGGTCGGTTAAATGATAGAAGTGCTTTGACACTGCCAATATCTCAGTGTCCTCAACCTCTCTGAGCCACAGTGCCCTGTACCAGCATCTTTGGTCTCATGTTGCCCTGATCCACCCTAAAGCAGAGGTCCCACAGCATTCCAATGACAACAACAGCACATGCATGCTATTTTCAAAACCATATACTATCTCATTTGACCTTCGCAATAACTGTGCAAGGTAGGAATTGTTTCTGGCCACATTTTGGAGATTTGCGAATAGACTCAGAGGCCCTAAGCGATTTGCCAAAGGTAATCCAACTAGTAAGTGGTGAAATCAAGACTCCAGTTTATGTCCTTCCCTCATTCGCCCACACATGCATAGATGTATTCATTTGTTGAGTTTCTACCCTGTGCCAGGCACTGTGTTATCTAAAGCCAAATTATATGGGGGGTTTTTTTGAAAGGGGGGTGGCTTTTTAATTTTTCAATTAGAATCGACATTCAATATTATATTAGTTTCAGGTATACAGCATAGTGGTTAGACATTTATATAACTTATACAGTGACACCCCCCACGCCCGTAAGTCTAGTCCCCACCTGGTACTATACATAGTTACCACAATACAATTGATTATATTCCCTATGCTGGACTTTACATCCCTGTGACTATTTTGTAACTGCCAATTCATACTTCTTTTTAAAAATATATATTTCTATTGATTTCAGAGAGCACAGAAGAGGGCGAGAGAGATAGAAACATCAATGATGAGAGAGAATCATTGATCAGTTGCCTCCTACACATCCCACACTGGGGAACAAGCCCGCCACCAGAGCATATGGTCTGACCGGGAATCAGACCATGACCTGCTGGTCGATGCTCAACCACTGAGCCATGCTGGCTGGCCCCAATTCATACTTCTTAATCCCTTCACCTGTCCCCCAGTCCCCAACCCCGCTCTCATCTGGGACCATCAGTTTGTCTTCTGTACCTATGAGCTTGTTTCTGTTCTGATAGTTCGTTTACTTTGGGGTTTTTTTTAGATTCCATGTATAAGTGAAATCATAAAGTATTTGTCTTCTCTGTCTGACTTATTTCATTTAGCATATACCTTCTAGGTCCACTCATGTTGTTCAGGGCCCTTTCAAGGGACATAGTTAGGGAATGAGTAAGTGGTTCTCGTATTATTAATCCAGTCCAACATTTATAGTTCCTTCCTCTATATCAGAGCTCATAACCTTGGGTAAACATTCTAATCATCTGAGGAGCTTTGAAAAGATACTAATGCCCAGGTCCCTCACAGGTTTGTTTTACCACCTCCAGTCTCCCTCTTGCTCAGCCATGACCAAGTTCCCAGAGAACGTCTCTTTTTCTCTGCATCTGGAGCACCCAGTACGGGGTCTGGGAAAGGCTAATGGTTGACCAGTTCAACCCTGGGCTGCTCGGGTTTGTATTCCCTTTGCTCTCCAGGTGGCATGTGTGTGTGAGAGAATTACAATGCACACAACTCTGCTTCTAACCTGGAACCCTTTTGAATCAACAGGAAAGGAAATGTCCTTTCCTTAAAAGCCACAGATAAAATCTTACGGAGCTCCAAAAATGACCTACCCAGTATCTTCATCATCTCTTCTTGTGCCTCAATCCATGTCATTCCTAAAACTGACTGTCCCAGCGCTGACCAGGTCTCTCTCCTCTCTTCTCCCACAGCTTAATCACCCGAAAGAACCGTCAGGTGTGTGCCAATCCAGAGAAGAGATGGGTGCGGGAGATTATCAACGCTTTGGAGATGAGCTAGGATGAAAGGCGCCTTAAACCCAGAATTTATGCAACTTTCTTATTGCTTCTCCCCAATCCCCGGCTCCCACCCTCCTGGGAGGCCCTGATTCCACTACACAGCATAGTGGCAGTTATAAAAGCCTCCCCACCAAAGCCCCCAGGAGCTCCTGGGGCTCTGAATTGTGCACAGAAAATTTCTGGTCTTGGAGCTGCAGGCGCCTCAGCTCAGGCATGGCTCTGCAATCAGGAAGTAAGTCGGCATGCCTCTGGAGGCGAAGAAGGGAGACAAACTGGGCTTCGATGGTAATGTCCCATGGCCAGAGCTCCAACCTCAGCCCCTCAATGTGATAGGCTGACTGGCAAAAGTGAGAAATCAGCTTTCTATTAAAATTCCCACGACAATTTCAAAGCTGGCTCCTGGCATGATTTCTTCCTCAGGGACCCTCCTTCCTCATGAGTATTAAGCATGCAGGGGTGCACACACCTGGTGTCCTCCCTAGATTTGGGGGTGATGGCCTTGCACAGTGAGCAGGGCTGGGAGCATAAGCTCTCTGAGAAGGGGCATGGGCAGGACAGTGGCTTATCTACCCTGGGGGGAAACAAGAGTCACTACATCCCCACTCCCAAGTTCCCACAAATTTATTTCACTCCCTGCCACAGAACCTCCACTTCTTCAGACCTTCCCCTTCTACCCTTGTCTACCCTAGTCCTCATCCCCAGTCTTGCTCCTGGAATAGGTTTTAGTGGCAATCCCAACACCTCAGTTCTTTCAAATAGAGGGAGTAATGAGGTGGGAGTACTCCAACTTCCCCATCGATGTGCCCCTTCATGTGAACATATATTGACAATATATATCTTCGTAATTATAGAGAGCATAGCTGAGTGCTCACTGTGCGCTGGGCATTGCCAGCCCCTTACATTCATCATCCCTCATCCCCACAACCCTTTGGGGGAAGCAGTATTATCAACCATGTTTACAGTTGGGAAAATCCTTGGCAAGAGAAGGAAATAACTTGCCCAAACCCCAAAGTAAAAGAAGTAAAATAAAAAGGGGGGGCATTTAAACCCATCAGGTGTTATGTCAAAGCCCATGTTTTTTTTTTAACCCTTACTTTGTAAAACTTCAAACCTACAGAAATTTCAAGACTATACCCATTAACCTTCATCTAGATTTGAATGTTAACATTTTATCATATTTGCTTTATCTATATGCATATGTGTGTGTATGTGTGTGTGTGTGTGTATAGTTGGTATAATACACTTTTTTTTCCAAATTTGAGAGTAAGTTGCAGATGTGATATCACTTCACCCCTAAAAGTTTCAGTACATATTTCACACTCAGGAAACCTAACACTGACACAATACTATTTTCTAAAACACAGGCCATGATCAAAGCCCACAATTGTCCCAATGTCTTTTACAGCTATTTTTTAAATCTAGGATACAATTATGTCCACACACTGAATTTAGCTGCCATGTCTTTTCAAGTGTCCTTTACCAGACTTTCTCTGTCTTTAAGAACATTCATATTTCGGGGAAGTTCAGATAAGATTTTTGTAGAATATTTCATTTGAATTTGCCTGATTGTTTCCCCCGAATTAAACTCAGGGTAAACATTTTTGGCCAGAATACCAGAGCGATGCTGTCTTTCTCAGTGCAGTACATCAGGGCACACGATGTCAGTTTACTAGTGATGTCAAGTCTGATGGCTTGGTGGCCCCTGTTCTTTTTTTTTTTTTAATATATTTTATTGATTTTTTACAGAGAGGAAGGGAGAGAGAGAGAGAGTGAGAAACATCGATGAGAGAGAAACATCGATCAGCCGCCCCCTGCACATCTCCCACTGGGGATGTGCCCGCAACCAAGGTACATGCCCTTGACTGGAATCGAACCTGGGACCCTTCAGTCCGCAGGCCAACGCTCTATCCACTGAGCCAAACCGGTTTCGGCAACCCCTGTTCTCCTGCTACAGTGAGTTGCCTGCTGTGTGCCAAGCACTGTACTAGGCATTGGGGGTGGGGGTCAGGAGTGGAATAGAGGGGTGAAAGAGCTACCAGCCACAATCTGTACTTTTAGGCAGTTCACAGTCTAGTGAGAAAGATGGAAAGATCCATGAACAGATGAAACATAAGACAAACTCTTAAAGGCAAGCACCACTACAAAAGGTTGTGGTCATATTGTGGGGTAGGGGGTATTACACCTAAATGGGGTGAGGCAGGGTGCCTCAGGGAGTAAAGAGACTTCAGAAATAACATTTAAGTAGAGTTTGAAAGATTTGAAAAACTGTTTAACAGGTGGAAAAGAAAATGAAAGACCTGACAGCTAGAGGAAAGAGCATATGCAAAAGTAGGGGTATGAATGGTCTTAGCCCAGAGTTAGTTCAGTCTCTTGCTACCAAGGAAAGAGGTGTGAGTTTAAGAGGGGCTTTCCCATCCCTGCCATTTTCCTGATGACTAATGCTAAGAACCACCCCTGCTCCTAACACAGGTTTATATGAGCTTGACACTTCACCAAACCCTTAGACTATCTCTTTGAATTTATGCCTCACCATAGCCCCTCTAGTTAGCTAGACAAACATGACTTTCCCGCATTTTAGATGAGGACACTGAAGATCCTAGAGGTAAAATGACTAGCTCAATCCATAAGCCAGTAGATGCCAGGGCTGGGGCTAAAGAATGGAACTAGAGCCCTGGCCAGGTAGCTCACATGGTTGGAGCATTGTCCCAATGTGCAAGGGTTGCAGGTTCAATCCCTAGTCAGAGGGCACATACCAGAGTCAACCAATGAATGCATAAATACTAGTAAGTGGAACAACAAATCGATGTTTCTCTTTCTCACGTTCTCTCTCTCTCTCTCTCAAAATCAATCAATACATTTTGCACTTAAAGAATGGAACTGGAGCATTCTAGTTACCTAGGAGACCTGGTTGCTCAGCACTTGGAAGCTTCCATTTCCAGAAGCCCAGACATCTCACTAGTTCCTCTTGTACAGAACACAGGGTATCCTGAGCTCTCTCTCCACATCCCGAAGGCCCTGTATTCTCCACCACCACCACCCTGCCCTCTGGCCCCACCAGGAGAATAAAAAGATGGCCTACGAAAAATCAATCGATATCTTTGAAATCGCCAGGTCAATGTTCAAGTACCCATGGCTGGAATATCCATACAGGACCAAAGGTGAGTCTGGAATGGAGAGGAACAGAATCAGGGGCAAGGGCCTGAAAAGGAAAGGCCCCTGGGTCCCCTTCCTGGCAGGGGTCAGGGTGAGTTCAGCAAATCTATGGGATGGGTCATGGAAAGCCCATGAACACTTGGATGGCTCCCCACAAGTCTCCAGGGTTTTCTAAAGTGGGACATCTTGTGTTTCCCAGGGTCTGCTCCCACACCTGCACCCTGGTCTCTATCTAACACTCACACCTGCAAGTCTTTGCATAGGTTGTTTCCGGTGCCTAATGCTCTTCCCCTTATCTATCTCCTACTTGGACTGAAGACTCAGAGCTTGTGCAGTCTCTGGGTAAACAAGTACTGAGCCAGGTTAAGAGTCCCTCAACTGTACCACCTGTGCTTTCATCTGTCTTCACATTTGCTTCCCTTTGTTAATCACTGATAACAGTCTGCCTCACCAGCTGGTCCAGTGGCCCTCAAAAGTGTGGTCCCAGGACCAGTAGCATCAGCATCTCATTAGAAATGCAAATTCTCAGGTGGAATCAATCCTCTAGGGCAGTGGTCAGCAAACTCATTAGTCACCAGAGCCAAATATCAACAGTACGATTGAAATTTCTTTTGAGAGCCAAATTTTTTAAGCTTAAACTATATAGAGAGGTACAGTACATTGTTATTAACTTCATTAGGGTACTCCTAAGGCTTAGGAAGAGCCACTCTCAAGGGGCCAAAGAGCCGCATGTGGCTCACAAGCCGCAGTTTTCCGACCATGGTTCTAGAGCAGCAGTTCTCAACCTGTGGGTCGCTACCCCTTTTGGGGTCAAACGACCCTTTTACAAGGGTCGCCTAAATACATCCTGCATATCAGATATTTATATTACGATTCATAACAGTAGCAAAATTACAGTTATGAAGTAGCAACGAAAATAATTTTATGGTTGGGGGTCACCACAACATGAGGAACTGTATTAAAGAGTCGAGGCATTAGGAAGGTTGAGAACCACTGCTAGGGAATTGCTCTAACAAACTCTCCAGGTGATTCTAATGCACACTCAAGTTTAAAAAATTCTGACCAGGACCAATGGTTTTCACCATTAGCTGCACATTAGAATCCTCTGGGGAGTTTTCTCTAATACCAAGGCCCCTTTCTCAGAGAATCTGTTCTGATTCTATTAGTCTTATGTAGGGCCAAGGCATGTTAAAAGTCCCGTCAGATAATTCCAATTCACAGCCACGGTTGAGAACCACTCTGCTGGACCAGAGCTTCTCAAACATCAAAGTACATACAAATCTTGTTGAAATGAAGATCCTGATTTGCAAGGCCTGGGGTGGAGCCCGAGAGTCTGCATTTCTGAGAAACTTCCAGGCTATGGCAATCCTGCTGTTCCACAGACCACATTTTGAGCAGCAAGGTATCAGGAAACCATGAGCCCCTTGAGGACAGGAATAACACCTTATTTACCTCCCTGGTGCCTAGTACTCCTGTTCACTAAATGCTGAATAAATGAATGCCTGAATGGATGATTCCTTAACCTGCCTTTGTGACTGCTATCTCATTTGTACCACAGAACTCAAAAAGGCCTCGATATCTGTTTACCTCCCCTTGTCCTGTCACCAGGTAAGACCCCTAACTTTTGCCACCTTGGGAGATTTGTTGAATAGGAGGGGCAGCAGACTGTCCCTTCCCATTAAGGTCAGTTCACAGAACCCCAACACTCACCCTTGGGCATGTTAAAAGTTCCCTTGAATAATTCCAAGGTTGAGAACTTTCTCTGGTCCCATCTCTGAGCTGGGCTGAGAACTGAGGGCAGAGGAGAATTTGTCACTAATTTTTGGACAAGCCATTTTCCTTCCATAAGCCTCAGAAGCCTCCTCTGTCACAGGCCAACCCTTGCCCAGAACTCTTCATGGAACTGTTGTGAGGTACCATCTGCAAGGCCTAGGCAATGCAAACAGTGCTGAATGATGAGTCATTTTTAATACAGAGATTCTCATAAAACACAGAGCACCCAATTAAATTTGAATTTCATATAAACAATGAAATATATATATATGTATGTGTGTGTGTGTGTGTCCTATATAATAAAAGCCTAATATGCTAAGTGCCCAACCGTTCAACCAATCAAAGCTAATATGCTAATGAACGCTAAGGCCATCAACTGCTTGCTATGACATGCACTGACCACCAGCAGGTAGTCAACTGGTCGCTATGATGTGCACTGACCACCAGAGGGGGACGCTCTGACCAGTAGGTTAGCCTGCTGCTGGGGTCCGGCCAATTGGGACTGAGTGAGATGGGCTGGACATGCCCTGGAGCCCTCCCGCAGTCCCTCCCCGGCTGGCCAACCTCCCACATCCCTCCCTGGCCCCAATTGTGCACTGGTGGGGTTCCTCTGCCTGACCTGTGCCCTCTCACAGTCCAGGCTGAGGGACCCACCCACCCTCAGTGCACGAATTTCATGCACCAGGCCTTCAGTGTGCGCACACACATAGCATTCATTACCTGAAATCCAAGTTTAACAGCCTGTTATTTGCTTGCTGTTTACTAAATCTGCAACTGCTCTGCCATCCACCTTGTTTTCCCAGAAACCAAAGGAAGAGTTCCCCCCAAGTCCAGAGTGCTGGAGGCAGCACCCAGCCAAACCAAACTCAGCACCATACTGCTACTTTGAGACGCCTGAGATGTACACGCACTGGCACATCCTGTATGATCATCAACAGAAACGGGAGGCCCAGAAAACATTGCAGAGAATGAGCGCTCAACTTAGGTGTGATTTACTGTTATTCTCCATACCTTCTGCACCTTCTAGGAAACTGAAGGAAAGGGTGTGGTGGGGCAGCAAGTGGAGCAAGTCAGCCTATAGATCCCAGAGAAGACTTCAGGGTAGAAAGAGGCTCATCTGTCTTCCGCTGGTCCCATCTCTAAGCTGGCCTGAGAACTGGGGGCAGAGAATTTGTGAAGGGGGGAGGAAGGGAACAAGGGGACCAAGGCTGCATGTGCAATCTCTCACACAGATACCACTTCAAAGAGGGTACTGACATCCAAAAAGTCCATCTCCCCATGAACAAGTTGACTACAAAATATCAAAAAGAACACAAGGCTTTACACCCTACTGAGGACTCCTTGAAGTGGCAAAGATTAAAGGTCAGGGACCATGGTGGGAGGGAGGATAGAGAGACTCCCTTCCTGTGAATGCCCTTACCTTGGGCGCTCACCATCCTTCAGCCCTCAATCCCATAATGGAGGACAGCGAGGAAAAGGGATTGGATTGGATGAGCTCCTTTCAGTTTGAAGTTTTACAATTATATTTATTCCTTTCCTCCTCTCCACTGGCTCCTTTGGAAGGGCAGGAACTCACAAAAAGCCTGAAATCTCCCAGAGAGGATGAGCAGTTCTATGCAACACAGGTGAGAAGTTGCAAGGGTGGAGGTAGGAGTTGGCCAAGTTAAAGAGGAGAAAGATGCTTGAGGTTGGGGTTGGGTGGTGTTCCAAGAACCCAATCCAGCTGTGTACAGAGAATGGGAACTCCTGGTGTGGTATCCAAGGCCTCTTCCCTTCCCTCTACCCTTCTTCCTGCAGGCTCTGGGGTGCCTGGGCATCAGTGACGAGTCTGTCATAGAGGCACTACTGCAGGTGGTAAGTCTGGGGCTGCACCGAGTTCAGGAGAGGAGGGAGCAGGGCATAAGGTGTATAGAACATGGGCACAGACAAGGCTCACAAGGATGGTGGGTTAGATCCAGCGAAGGGAGCCACCAGGGTGCAGCATATGCCAGCTCATGCCCTTTAAAGGACAGCTTGATCTAAAAGGATGGGGGAGGTGGAATCTGAAGAGCCCTTTTGTCTAAGAAGACACTCAACTGAAAAACTAGGAGAGAACTGGGACTGAGTTCATTCTCTCCCTTAACTGAATCAATGCCTCGTATTTATATGCCCAGTTATAATGGAGAGCGTGCATCTACATAATCTCATTTAAATCTTACAATACTAGGAATAGGTGGTAGTATCTGCATTTTCCTAATGAGAAAATGGAAACTCAGAGGCCAAGCAACTTGCCCAAGGTCACATGGCGACTACATCCCAGATAGGTATTTGAACAAGTTTTACTCCCAAGTTTTGCGCCTTCCATTACACCTTCCTGGCTGTACTGTGTTTGAGTAGACAGGTCACTCTCTAGGCCTCAGTTTCCTCATTTATAACATAAGATTAAGCTGAGATTCTTAAAGCTTTAACATTCCATCACCTTATAGCATGTTTCCACCACCTGCCTCTTAAATCAGGTTGAAACTGGTCCAGAGAGAGTGAAGTATGAGGCTTATAGAACCCTGGCCATCCTGGGTAAGTATATCCTCTCCCTGGCTGGGGAGTTGAGAGAGGTGAGACAGGAGGCAGTGCAGCCACTCTCCCCTCTGGGTAAAGACAGAAGGGTAGTGCAGTATATGCCTGCACAACCTAGCACTGGGCAGTGTCTGGGAACTCTCCCAGGTACTGCTGGGGGGGTGGGGGGGAGAGTGAGAGAGAGAAAGGAAATGAAAAGGGAGATTGAGATTAAGGTTGCGCTCAGCCAGCTGCTTTGGTGTCCTGGGAAGATGAGCAACATCTTGGGACCTAGTACTTGGAACTTATGTCTTGAGGGCACAGTGGAGTCCAATGGATCCTGGCAGAGAGGAGCAGCCCAAGGCTCTGCCGTGACCTCAGGACCCTTCCTGTCTAGGTTGCCTGAATAAGGATGTGATCCAGGCTCTCATCAAGCAGTTGAAGGAGCCAAATGAGGAGCAAAGGATGGATACTCTGAGGGGACTACGAGTAGCTCTGAATTCCTGGACTGCTATCCCCAATGACAAGGTGATTGGGAGATCAGTGATTGGGGCAAGGTAGGGCAAGGTAATTGATGGTGTTGGCTGGGGGTTAGGTCAGGGAGAAGGTAACCTAGCTCCTGATTTTGATGGGAAGGCATTGTCCTGTGGAGTTTCCTGAATGGAAGCACTGGCGTAGCAATTTACCACTCACAACCTACTTTTGCCCTCCTGTGTACAGCAAGAACAGACCACTTTCCAAGTTTTGCTAGAAAGGGTTGTAGTTGGCACCAGGGGTGAATTCTAGGAAAAGAAAAATGACATGTTTCTAGTCTGAGGGATAATAATCCAGTAGTTAGAAAACTGGTCATTTTGAAGATAGTGGGAAGAGTTGTGCAGCAATGTCCTCGAGTAGGTGAGAAGAAATGAGCTCTAACAGTCTACAGTAGAAGTGGAAAGGAAGAACATATGGGTGCAGGTTGAAAGTTGGATAAAAGTGGTGGTATCTCTGGAACTTGTACTTGCTCAGTAAAGTAGGAAACAAGGTCATTAGCTGAGTGGGAATGGAGGAAGAAAGTGCTAGAGGTACCAGAGGAAAGGGTGTGATGTAGAGGGTGGAAAAGAGAATTGCCCGGAGAAAAGCAGTATGATCAGTAGGCAGCATTAGGGATCTACATGAAGTTTGTGTTCATCCATCTAAAGCAAGATCAATCATTGTGACTATGTTTTTCTCCAGGAAGGACAGGCACAGAGCAAGTAGAGAGTTGAATACAATGAACCAAGATAAGGTAAAGGAGTTGAGGCAGGAAGTAATTATAGAAGGACCATGGACTTTAAGCTGGGTAAAGAGGGATGAAGGTGAGGAGCAGTGAAATGGTGCTTAATGATGATTAGTCCTTGTGGAGTCCAACAATTGTTAACATCAAGAGGTGAGCTGGAAAGATAGGAAGTGATGGTCAGAGTGGGATCCGTGAAATGGAGAAATTGTAGTTAAGAAGTAATGATAAAATCTCTGTGGGAATTAGTAGCTGACAGTGTGGAGTACAAGGTTACTGGAGGGGAGGAGCTGGATCAATGAAATGTACATATTTTTAAATGCTGGGAATTAGACAGCAGAAGTATTAAGAGAGTAACATTGATTCATTCAGAAGATAGAGTCATAGAGAAATGAGAGGATATGACCTAGGAGCAAGTAGATGACAACAAAAACAAGAAGTGGATAAAATAATCTGATAACATGAGATTCATTTTAGGGAGAATGGTCTGGAAGCAGCAAATAATTGCCCTCTTAACAAAGCCTGGCTGAGAACATAGTCCCCTCCTGTCTTCCTCTCAGAGGACTCAAATCGGGGATGAAGGGATGCTGGCATCTGTGCTGCAGATGCTGATACAGAAGTCAAAGAATGAAGCAGCCATGGAGGCAGCCCTGTGTTTGGGTTTCCTGAGACCCTGCAGCAACACAGCCCGAGGATTCTTGCTGCAGTGCCTATGCCACGGGCTTATGTCCCAGAGGATGAAGGTGTGCAGGGCAGGAGGCTGGATCCCTGGGAAGGACGGGGGAAAGAGAGGCTAGTGCTGACTTCCATGGGGGTCTGGACCCTGTCATCCTCATCCCAGGGCAAAGTAGCTTCAGCAGGGAGTACTGCAGGTCCTGCGTGTGTGAATGTATGTATGCACGGGCAAGGGGTCATGTGGACCTACATATACATGTGTCTGTGCACATTTGATATGTATTCATTTATGTATGTGCACACTCAAGAGGCAGGACCCCACCTATTCCCCACAAGTTCTAGACTCAGCCGTCAAGTCGGCCTGGCCATCCAGATGCTTCTTGGACCCCACCCACGCTGCCTTCCCCATAGGCACTTAGGATGCTGGTCAAGATGATGCGTGTTCACTCAGCCGAGGTCATCAGGGCCGTCCTAGACCAGCTGTGCTATTCTTGTGTCCTTGAGGTGAGTCTAGGGCTGCCTAATACCCTTCTTTCTCCATCACTAAGACAGAGTTGGGGGATGGATGAGAGGGAGTCTATCCTTCATGGCTCCCCACCCCTGCCCTCAGCATCGCTTTGAGGCGACCCAGATGCTCAAGACCATTGGGCTGGAACAGATCCAGGCACAGGGACTGGAAGCACTCACATTTGACCTACTCAGGAGGAAGATATTTAATGAACCCTTCCTCGTAAGTAAGACCAAAGCTCCAAAGCCCAGGCAGCCCAAAGCTGTCTCTCCCCCTTCTCAGACCTCCCCTGTCTTGGTTCCCACCACACTTCCCCCTGAAGAATCACATTCACTCTAACCTACTCCGTTTCCCTAATGCAGCCTGTTTTTAAGCCACCTTGCCTTTGCTCAGACAAAATGCCCCTGTCATCCCTCTCCCCTCTGGGAGGTCACACTGGTAAGTAACTCTTGTCTCCTTCTGCCTACTCAAATATGACAGCTCCTTCAAGACCAGGCTAAGCACCACCTCCTATGGGAAGTTTTCCCAAATCACCACAAAGAGCATCAGCTCTGCCCTCTTATGTCCCATTGCTTTTACCTTTAAAACAGCTTACTACAAAACTAGTCACACAACTTTTATCTAAAGACATTTTCCTAAAATGTAAATCAGGTTGTGCATAAAACTTTTCAATAGCTTCCCATTGCCCTCAGAATGGTTTACCCTGTCCTTCACCGCCCAGCCTGCTTCCGCCTCCAGCATCATCTCAACCACTCAACCCCTCAGAACCACACACCAACTATGCTTAGGGTGACCCCATCCTGATTTATACCTGTGATCCCAGTGTAACTCCTCAGGGTACCCCATGGTGAAGAGTCCCAGCGTGGTCACCTTGATAAACTGAACTATTTTCTGTTCTCTAAACACGCTGTGCTCTCCCTCTCTTGCCTCCAGGCTTTTATACATGTCCTCCCCGCATCCACACCTAGAAAATCACCCTCCCCCAACCCACTGCCTGTTTAACTCCCATTCACCCTTCAGGTTTCAGTTGAGACATCACCTCCTCCAGGAAATCTTCCTGGTGCCCAGACTAAGTTAGGAGACCTTCCTATGTGCACCCTACCCTTAGTTCAGTTGTAACACTTACACAGTAATGTAATTGCCTACTCACCAGTCTGCTTCCCCCACCAGACCTTCCCTCAAGGAAGGTAGATAGATGCAAGAAACTAAACATTCAACAAAGGTTTGTGAAGCACTTAAGGGTACACCCCTGCGTTCCTTCTCTCTCTTGTCCCATCTTAATCCCTCTTCAGGCTATGAGGCAGGCTGTGGCTGAAATTGTGGACGAGTTCAAGATGAAGCCCATGATGATGAACTTGGTGGAGGGGTGAGTGGCTAAGACTGGGAGCTGCCAGGGCCAAATCCTAAGTGGTGGGAAAGGGGCAGAGGAACAGAGAGAGCTAAGAACTTGCCAGTTCTCAGCTGTCACTTGCCTTTGTCCCTGGCCAAGTCACTTTTTGACCCCTGGACTTTCCTTCTACTGTACAAAGAGGCTGATTATACCTACCACTCAGGCTTGCTATAAAGCTCAAATTAAGACGAGGACATGAATGAGACTTGAAAAAGGTAAAGTTCTGGACAGATATATTTGTCAGCACCTCCTCCATATCTCCTTTTCCCCTCCTGGCCCCTTCTGACCTAAGAAACAAGAGGGAAAAAATTAATAAAGTCAGCATCACTCATCAGCCTTATGTGCCACTCACTCTGGGCTATACCAAGAAACAATCAGCCTTCCTCCCCCTCCCCCTTAACTGAACCACAACACACTTACTCCCTTCTACACAGGCAACTAATGAGCCCACAAGCTGCTTCACGCCAGGAAGCAGTCATCTCTTTGGTAAGGCCAGTTTTGTTTCTTTGATCAGATGTGTTGATGGCAAGGGCAATAGGCAACTGAGCAGCTACTGAAAGGAAAAAAAAGGCTGTGAAGTTCAGGGTTGCTTGTTTATTTTACAACTAGGGGCCCAGTGCATGAATTTGTGAACCTTGAAAGGAACTGTGGCTGTGAGGCTGAGGTGGGCATAAGGGCAGGTCTCGGCCCATCCTCCACGCCCCTGCCCGGCCCCGCCTGCAGCCCCACTCCCACCGCTGTGGCTCCCCTGCGCTGACAGGACCAGGCCTGCTTGGACCCACTCACTGCGTGAAGCAATTGGGGCCAGTGCCAGCAGCAGCTGTGAGCAGTGGCTACTGCCCTGATCACCCTTCAGGAGCAGGGGGAGATGGAGAAGCCCTCAGGGGTGATCAGGGCAGGCAGCCACTGCTCACACCTCTGACTGCCCGAGCCATCAAGACTGGCACCAGCAACAGGTGCAAGCACCGGGCGGGACCACAGAGCACGGGGGAGCAAAGAATTTTCAGTAACCACCAGAGGCTCACCCCAATGATAGCAACCAGCACCCTGCCTAGGTCTGACGCCCCCACTCACCTGGTCCACCATCCCACCACAGCCAACGCCCGCCATGTTCCAAGCCCTGCCTCCTGCTGCCCCTGGTGGTCAGCACATGTCATAGTGACTGATTGTTGACTGTTGGTTGTTCCACTGTTCAGTCTATTTGCATATTAGGGTTTTATATATTTAGATTTCAGTCCTACCAGGAGTTCGGAGTAACCTTTTCTTCAGGATTAGAGAACAGTGGCTTAAGGGATAAGGGTCAGGAGATGGGTGTTAAAGAGACATTGCTTAAACATTAGAGAAACTGTCTGAACTCTTCCTGGTGAATGTGCAATGGAACCTAATGCAGTGGCCCCAAAAGGCAAGGAAAGGGATACCTTAGCTGGAAAGCCATCATCTCCCACTCTCCAGGCCATAGGGCATCACAAGGGGATTAGAATTGACAAGGGTATCTTCCTGGACTGATTACTTAGGCACTCTCCTTCTGCCTCTACCAGGGTGTCCTGGGGATCCGCAGCCCACCAGTGTTCCACTTGCTCCTGGACATGCTAGACACAGAAAAAAGCCAGTCTATAAAGAAGAGTGTAAGGCATTCCTACCCTCCTCTTCCTCTTCTAACCCCTCCTCCAAGCCCTTCCCATCTAGCCTCACTACTTGCTTTGTCAGGAGGGAGGAGAGGGGAGTAAGTCCTCACACAGTCCCTTGACCTCATTCCTTGGGGCCATAGTGCCCTGTGGGTAGAGCTCCCCATCCCATGGGTAACCCCTTCCACTCAGCCTGAGCCTGAAGCCAGCCAGCCACAGAGCCTTTATTTCAATGCAGCTACAAGAAACACTCACTGTTTTGGCCTCAATTGATCCCTGGATCAAAAACAAGCTGAAAAACAAGGTTTTCTTTGTATCTGAGTCACCTCTGACCAATGAGAAGGAAGAGCCTACAAGGTTCAGAAAAGAGAATGAGAACCTAGAAGAGTTAAATATCCAAGACTTTCGACTTGCACAGCTGAGCCCCTTGTTTGTTGCAAAGGCCAGTGCCTCACCAGACCAACAGGAAAAGTTGAGGGCCCAGAAAAGGTCTCCCTGTTACCTCACCCCTGCCTTCCCTCCCCGTTTCCCTAAACCACGAAAACACAAGTCACAGGCCACAGGGCCTTGGACACCAGAAATCAGGAAACAGCTTCAGATCCTTGCCAAAACCTCCAAATAGGTCACTTCCTGAGGATGCTTCTCAGGCTCCCCTGAGAAAATGTCTATACTTATCCTCGATGAATAAATGAATGTCATTTCTACCTATGCTGTTCCCTTCATCAGAGGCTTCACTGAAACACAGGTCTCCTCACTCTGGGTTGAAGGGACATGGAGGACAGAACCAAAGCTATTCTGGATGACCGGCCTGCCTCCCTAAACCAAGCCCTTGTCTATAACCAGAACTTAATAACAAAGCTAGAGAGCTGAGCTTCTGCTTCCAGTGTGGGGCAGGGGGGAAGGGCTGCTGAAGGGAAAATAGGAGAAAATCCTGTAAGCATAAGTCCTGGACCATTTCCTCTTACTAACTTACCTCCCCCCAACCCCCCACCATTCTCTCAGTGGAAATAATTAGGCTGTAGTAAGACCAACCACACTCTCTGCTCTCTCTTCTCCTATGTCTACTTTCTACCCACCTCGGGGCCATTTCTTTGACAGGCCCTATTTATTCTCCCAAACTACTTTAGTTCCTCGTTTACTGAAGGTTTCAGTTTCTCTTTGCCAGTAGGACCTGCCACACCAATCCCTACAAACTATGTCCATCTTTAAGAAAAGAAAAAAAAGTCTTTACTTTGGAATCAGATCATCTGAAATTCAGGGACCATTTACTTGATCACAGACTTCATCATTTTGGAGTGAAGCTCAGACATCCTTGTTTTAAAAAACTTGCTAATTCCAGTATACAGCTGGGATAAAGAACCACTATTATAAACAGCCTTATTTTAATCCTATCCACTTTCATCTTAATGACTCTCAAATCTGCATCTGTAATAGATTCATTTGGTCAATATTCACGAAGTCCCAAAGCTGTGCCTCAAACTGTTCTAGGCACTGGGTAGAACAGTGGACAACAGACAAGGTTTCCTACTCTCCTGGAGATCATATTCTAATCGAGAGAGAAGTTTATACCCACAAAAAGATAATTTCAAATACTGAGAAGTACTGTAAAGACTTAAGAGGTGCCAAACCAGTTTGGCTCAATGGATAGAGTGTCAGTCTGCGGACTGAAGGGTCCCAGGTTCGATTCCAGTCAAGGGCATGTACCTTGGTTGCGGGCACATCCCCACTGGAGGGCGTGCAGGAGGTAGCTGATGGATCTCTCTCATCGATGTTTCTCTCTATCCCTCTTTCTCCTCTGTAAAAAAAATCAATTAAAAAAAAGATTTAAGAGGTGATGTGACAGTAAAGAGTGTCAGTCTGCGGACTGAAGGGTCCCAGGTTCGATGCCAGTCAAGGGCATGTACCTTGGTTGCGGGCACATCCCCACTGGAGGGCGTGCAGGAGGTAGCTGATGGATCTCTCTCATCGATGTTTCTCTCTATCCCTCTTTCTCCTCTGTAAAAAAAATCAATTAAAAAAAAGATTTAAGAGGTGATGTGACAGTAACTCCTCTGTAAGAAAAATCAATTAAAAAAAAAGATTTAAGAGGTGATGTGACAGTAACTAGGAGAGGCAGTATTTTATATAAAGATGTTTTTATTAATTTCAGAGGGAGAGATAGAAACACCAATGAAGAGATCAGCTGCCTCCTGCACGCCACACACTGGGGATCAAGCCCTCAACCTGGGCATGTGCCGTGACTGGGAATCAAACCATGACCTACCTCCTAGTTCATAAGTTGACACTCAACCACTGAGCCACACCGGTCAAGCAGAGAGAGAGGCCGTTTTTTAGATAAAAGCCAAGAAAGACCTCAAAGGAAGGATTTGACCCTAGTTGTAGTGAAAAGTCGTCAGCCATATGACTATCTGAGGAACGAGAATTCTAGACAAAATATATACAAAATACTAAAGCAGAATCATATCTGATACCATCAAGAATTATGACCAATGTGCTCAGAGCAAGGTAAGTCTGGATGTTATATAATGAAGTTGGAGAGGTAGGCAGGCCAGATCCTATAGGGCTTTGTAAGCCAGGGTAAGGAATTTGTTGTCTACTTGCAACAGAAAGTCATTGAAAGGGTTTTAAAGAGGCATGACATATGGTCTGATTTACATCATTACAATATCACTTGGCTGCTGTATGAAAAATTGATTTTAGAGAGGCAAGACTGGGAGGATCTAATAATGGGCAATTGCAATTGTCCAGAAAAAAGATGACTGTAGCTCATACGATTGCAACCAAGACTATCAAGATGGTTTCGGGATATATTTTGGAGGTAGAATTAAAAGGAACTGCAGGTACAGAATGAATGAGAGAAAGCAAGTATAAGCTCTAAAGTTTTTTTTACCCGATCTGATCTAGGAGGACAGTGAGGGCATTTACTGAGATGGAAATGACTAGGAAGAGAGAAACTGACTTGGAGAGGGAGATCCAAAGTTTTGTTCAATCCTGGAGGAGTTGCCAAGAAAAATCAAATTTATTTAGTATATCCTAGTAGAGATCAAATAGGCAGCTGGGTATAAACCAGAGTTAAGGGGAGAGGTCAGGACTGAAGACATAAATTTGGTAGTCATCACTGTATTAGGTGGTATTTAAAGCAATAACCTGAATGAGTTTGCCCAGAATAAAAGTGAGTATAAATAAAGGAGAACAGAGATCAGAACATGCCAAGGAACTTCCAACCTGCAAAGACCAAGTAGAGAAGTTAGCAAAAACAAGTATGGAACAAAATCAGGGAAGTGTAGTTTTCTGAGCTGCAGATTTACACATCCAGATGTCTACTGGATGTCTCTACTTGTAAATGAGTGCCCCAAACTCAACATACCTAAAATTCATTTCCATCTTGTTCCCACATCTCTTCCTTATTCAGTGTTTCCTATTTCAATACCTATCCCATTGCCAAGGCCAGTAACCTAACTCTTCCCTCCCAACTATTTCTGACATCTAGCCAAAACCTGTCAAATTTCCCTCGTTATTTCTCAAATTTATTTAGTTATGTCCTCCTCATCCAGTCAATATCTGAGCTCAGACCAGTATTTCTCACTGGCTTACCATTGTCTCCTATTCAGCTTCTTCACTTTCAGCCATTATCGTCTTCAGTAGATACTACTCAGGTCAGGACACTCCCCTGGTTAAATATTTTGACTCCCTATTTGGAGGCAGGGGGAAAACTGAAATGCAAGGACCTTATGGTAAAGCTTGTTTACCTCTCCTGTCTCATCTTTTGCAAGCCTATCTTTAACTCCTCCTTTACAATGCACTACTTACCCTTCTCAAGCCAGTGTCTATTCCTCAATCTCTTTATTCCTCTAATGTATTTGTTGATGTCATTAATTTTCTGCTGGGAACACCATTTCCTCAACCCAGCCTCATTACTTGGCCAATTCCTACTCTTCCCTCAAGACTCACCAAACCTTCCTGATCCCATGAGTTAAGTGTACTTCAAATCAGCCCTCAAAAGCACCTTGCATTTATTCTTATTGGAGCACTTATCTGTCTATTGTGTTTGCTTGTTGAGCAACATAGCCAGCATCTGTTATAGTGTCTGTCCCAGGCTCTTGGTAAGGGTAGAAGAAATAGTTTTTAATGAATACCAAATAACATACCATGTACACTGGTATCTTAACCCTAACTTATTGAATCCTCACTCTTCTTACCTAGCCCTTAGGCCTCCCTACTCCCAGCATCTAGAACACTACCCTAAATAAATGGTTCTAAATTATAAACTGGAACTCTCAAAATCACCTGGTGAGCTTGACACAAATGTTCCTTAACTCCTTCCCCACACCCCCACCAAGTTCTGATCCAACACACTTGAGGCTTAGGTAATCTAATTTTGACAACTTCTTCAGGTGATTCTGATGTGCAGCCATTCTTTAGAAGCTGCTATTTTAAACAGAGGAGAAGTTCAATAAATACTGTTGAAAGTAACATTTTAATTTAATGAAGTGGGCTCCATTTCCTCATTCTTCAGGGTTAGAGTCTGCTGTAGCTGAATCCTGAGTGTGACAGAACAATGCACTAATATACAAAAATCCACAAAACAAGAAGCCTTTATTGCAGTATTATAAAACACTTTCCATTTTGGCAATATTTTACAACGCACTTAGCTTCAAGGGTTGGGAAGGGGAAAGTTGGAAACTAAAGGGGAAAATTCCAACAGACATTACTAAAGAAAAACTGTCCCAGCCCTACCACCCAAATAAAATTCTAAATGTCACTTAATTTCACTACCCAAGAAGAGGCCACCAGGAAAGCAGCAGGCAAAACTCTGGCAATTTCACTATGGATCATGTCAGAGACAAAGGAACATCCAAAACAGTCATCAGTATGGTCGGTTGCGCTGATCATTTCTGTAGTCGTTTCTAGGAATGAAAAATAAAGAATCAGATTAAATTCTAATTTTCTACCAAAGGGGCACATCAAATACCTCTTCAGGGTGCTGGTGACTGGTATCAGCTTGACAATTTCTGCAAGGATAACACCAGGCCTGATTTCTCTACTCCTAGAGGGTGTGTAATAAATATCTTATCAGCTTTAAGATCCTAAAAGCACCTTTACTATCACCAACTTACTAAAATTTTCCACCTAGAATAAGGACTCCAAACCACTGTGGTATTTTCAGGAGGCCAGTGGAAACATATCCTCTGGTAAGGATTAAAACAAACAAATTTTAAAAACCATATCTGTTTTAAAAAAGAATAAACTGTTTCACAACTGTAAATCTACCTTTGCCCACCCTGTATATACAGACACTTTTATAGGATTTGCCACACAGTAAGAAGTATTCAATAGATGATAATTACTAATAGCAAACAATTACACAGTACTTACTATGGGCCAGCACTGTTACAACAGTTAATCTAAATCCACGAAGGAAGTATTATTAGCCCTACTGTACACATCAGAGTACTAATGCTCCACAGGGTTAAGTACCTTGCCTAAGGTCACATAGCTAGAAAGTGGTGGAGACAAGACTTGAACCCAAGCAGTCTGTCTCTAAAATTTGTGCTCTTAACCACATGCTATACTAAATCTCACTACCTATACTCCCTCTGGCATACAAATGCTTTTAATAACTGAAGTCATTTAATATCATTGGTCATTCCATTTTTTCTGCCTCTACACCATTCATTGTGCAGTATGCAACACACACACCCAGCAGTGCCATCAGTGATTTTCATCTGGAAAAGATATTACCAGAAATGCCAGAAAAACAACTGCAGGGTATATATAGCCCACATGATTTGAAAAAGCACACCCCCACCACTGAGATTAAGAATTCCTGATTTACACAGTTTCAAAATACCACTCAATCTCAATTACTTTTAGCTATGGGAATGAATAATACACACATACACATACAAATATAAGGAATTATGAGTAAGAACTTCCAAAACAATGAAATTCAAGTACCAAAACACTGGACAATAAAAAACCTTAAAATCTAAGAGCAGTGAGATAAAAACTATGTTCTAATACTCACCTTCCTCCCATTTTGCCTCCATAGCCACCTCGGTCTCCTCCATAGCTGCCACCACTCCGATCTCCTCCATAGCCTCCACTTCGGTCTCCACCATAGCCACCGCCACAACCACGGTCTCCTCCGTAGCCCCCCCCACTTCGGTCTCCACCATAGCCTCCTCGGTCCCCACCGTAGCCTCCTCGGTCCCCACCGTAGCCGCCTCGGTCCCCACCGTAGCCGCCTCGGTCCCCACCGTAGCCGCCTCGATCTCCTCCGTAGCCGCCTCGGTCTCCTCCGTAGCCGCCTCGGTCTCCTCCATAGCCGCCTCGATCATAGCCACCTCCTCTGTCCCCACCATAACTACCCCCACTTCTATCTCCTCCATAGCCACCCCCACTTCTGTCTCCTCCATAGCCACCTCCACTTCTGTCTCCACCATAGCTACCCCCACTTCTGTCTCCACCATAACCACCACGGTCTCCACCTCTGCCCCCACGACCTCTATAGCCCCTCTCTCCACCGTAGCCTCTTCCCCGGAAATCTGTAAGG